GGTGCTCGAACATCGTCAGCTACGCGCAGAGACTCCTCAGTGCTCGAACATCGCCAACTACGCTGGGGACTCCTCAATGTTCGGTTTCTTCATGTAAGCATCACCAACTAACCTGAGAACTCCCTTGGTGGTCGGATCTTGCTACGTCTCATCGGTGTGCTATCAAGCTGTTCGGATCAGGGTGCTGATCTTGGACAGCACGTCTGGGGTCTTGATACGCTCATGTCAGATGATGTCGGTAAGCTTTCAGACTTTTTTTCTTTGACCCTGCTACAAGATTCATTCTTCATCTTTCAGCAGGCTTGGGGACTAAGTGGCTACACTTCACCTGGCAGTGAATGTAGTGCTTATTTCTTGATTTACCCTCTTTATTGACGGAGTCTAAGTGGCTACACTTTTCCTAAGTGGAAGAATTTTCAAATTTTATCTTGAGCCCCTTACATCCTTCTAGCAAGCCTTGCTTGGCTAAGTCCGATGTCTCCTAACCAATTAAACTGGTCGGCATTGACTTTCGCCGTCCAGGTCATCAGTTAAACTGGTCGGCTTTGACCTTCACCGTCCAGGTCACCAGTTAAACTAGTCGGCTTCGACCTTCATCGCCTAGGTCACCAGTTAAACTGGTCGGTTTCGACTTCCACTGCTCGGATCACCAGTTAAACTGATCAGCTTCACGTCAAAGTGCTCGGACTTGTTCAAGACAGCGTTGCTCAAATGATACAAGGCGCTCGGGGACTAGTTGTGGGGGACATGACTCCCAATATCCATAAGAAAAGACATGGGCCGCACCATTAGAGGTGGCCCAGCCCACAAGATCAAAACATGTACGGCACTGGTCAACATGCACCGCAAGATATTGTATAGTATCAAATAGGATACTTTCCTTGTAACCCTACCCCTCTAGAGTATATAAGGAGAGACAGGGGTCCTCTAGTCGACATCTACATACATCTCAATCCAATTCATCGGAACACAGGATGTAGGTATTATGTCATACTGACGACCGAACCTGTCTAAATCTTGTGTCTCGGTGCTTGTATTACCATCTAGTTCATATCACGCGCACCTCCACCGATTCATCTACTACCGTGGATATACCCCTCGGTAGACTGCCGACCAGATTTCGTCGACAGATAAGATGAGGAGTTCCAACTTCAGCGCGCCAAGAAAAACTGGGCCGCTCACGATGACTGTAACACTTCTTTCTTCCAATTATCCATAACTAAAAGACACAGAAAAAATAGAATTTCGTACTTGCAAAATCCCGATGGCTCACATTCGACTACCCCTGAGCAGGTCGCCAATACTCTGATTGCTTATTTTCAGCAGATCTTCAGTGCTACTGGTAACAGTGATGCAACCAGAAAGCAGACGTCAACCACCACCAATATGGTCACTAATGTTTCTTAACCAGGTAACAACAGCCCGGAAGAGATCAACGACGACTTCACCAATTCCACCCCGAACGTCCATGAACTCCATGCCATCATCAAGCAGATGCGCAGCAACGCCTCCCCGGGACCCGACGGCCTCAATGCAGCATTCTACAAGGCCGCTTGGCCATGGATATCTTAGGACGTGCACGATCTGGTAACTGGCTTCTACTCCACTGCCTTTTTATAGCCTGAGTTGAATCAAACCTTTATTACTCTTATTCCTAAGAAAATGCAACCTATTGTGTCTCAGGATTTCAAACCGATTAATCTGTGTAATGTCATCTATAAGGTCATTGCCAAATCCCTAGTTGATAGGTTAAAGCCTCACCTTCCCAACTACATCGATCACTCTCAGGCTGCTTTCATAGAGAATAGGCACATTTCTTCAAATATCGTTATCACTTAGGAAATTGTCCACTCTTTCTCTCTCAAGACTTGAAACCATCAGGCTTTCCTCCTTAAGCTTGACTTGCTAAAGCCTTTGACCGGTTGGATTGGGACTTCATTGCTTCTGCTCTCGCTCGTCTTGGCCTTCGCTCCAACTTCATTCGTCTCATTCATGCTTGCATCTCTACCACAACTTTCTTCATTCTAGTTAACGGTGAGCCTACCACCACTTTCTTTCCTCATAGAGGAATTCGCTAGGGTTGCCCTCTGTCTCCTTATCTCTTTGTCGTTGCCATTAATGAACTTTCCTTCCGGCTGCAGAGTGAATTGAATTCCTCCAATCTCTCAGGGGTCACCCTGGGTCCAGGATGCACCCCCATCCACTCTCCTCTTTTTGCTGATGACCTCATCCTTTATGGGAATGCCTCGGTCCCTGAGGTGGCTACCATCCGTAATATCTTGAATGATTTTTGCACCTGTTCCGGTCAGGCTCCTAATCTCCACAAATCTTGTATTCTTTTCAGCAAGAATGTGCCTACCTCTACCAAAGCCCAAATCAAGGACATCTTCCCCGTCCATGACCTTCTTCCGAACACTATGCACATTGGCCACCCTATTATTTTTAGTCACAGTGATAGGAACAGAGCTTATGATTTCATCCATAATAAATTCAGAGCTAAGCTAACAACTGTCAAAGCTAACAAGCTTAATCATGCAGGAAGGCTTACTTATATAAAATCGGTGCTCGCTTCAATTCCGGTGTACTATATGTCTATTGTGCTCTTCTCTAAGATTTTTTGTAGGTAAAATCACTGCTATTATCAGGAGATTTTGGTGGACCGGAGCACAGAAAGACGATCCTACCTCTCCAATTGCCTTCAGATCATGGGATGACATTTGCCAGCCCACAGATAACGGGGGTCTTGGTATAAGGGACCTCCACACTGTTAATAGAAGTCTCCTCATCCAGACTGCCTGGAACATGGCTACTGAAAAAAAACCCTTTGCTTACTGCAGTGCTTAAAGCCAAATACTATCACAATACCTCTTTCTAGAACTCTAACACCACTGGTACCAAGTCAATCTTATGGTCATCAATCTTGCAGGTGAAAAAGGATCTGACCACAACTCTGTCCTTCAAATTCACTCAGGTAACAGCTCCATCTGGTCCACTCCTTGGTGCCCTCTATGGAACACTATTCATGACCACATGCTGCTTCCTGTCACCCAGACGCCAATGCCTTCCACTGTGTCCGATCTCTGGCAACCCCAACTCCCAAACCTGGAATGTAGATGTCATAGCTAACATTTTTGATGATCAGGCTGTGCAGACAATCACCCAGGTCCCGCTGACACACAATAACCGAAATGACATCCTCAGGTGGACACCTGCCAAAGATGGCAAATGCTCCACCAAGAACATTTATTGGCACCTAAGCAGACAGCAGATTGTACAACTCCCACACCAGGGATCCAGAAGCATTAATCATCATGCTAACAACATTTTGCAGAGAGCATGGAAAAGCAAGGAATTACCTCCCCTAATCAAAGCTTTCACGTGGAGACTCGTTCGAAGGGCACTGGCTACTACTGAGAGAGCATCAAGGTATACCACTAATATTGATAACCATTGTGCAGCTTGTGGACAGGTGGAGGATGACGCCCATCTATTTTTCCACTGTCAACTACCGAGAGCTGTCTGTTTTTTATCTAATCCACCGCTACACACCGACAGCCTGCCCCAAGACAATGACAGAGTGCAATTGATCCTACAGGCTATCATAACCAACTCCATCCCTAATGATCTATTCAATAAGATTCTAATCACTTTATGGTATTTATGGAAAGCTAGAAATGATCCTAGATTCCAGAGCAAATGTTGGTCTCCCTGCCAGGTACACCATGCGGTGGCGGCGCACATCACAACCCACCAGGCTTCCCTTGCAGGTCACCAATCAGACTACTGCACCAACCGCACGGACACAAATGAATATCAGAGCCAGAGTGGAACCGATACTACACAGACAGGTATCAACAATGCTGCTGCAGGTATCAGCATAACACCAACCAATCCGGGGGACCCTTTCAGGGTTCAACTCCCAGCACTTCTTGACGGAGTCCGGTGTTACAGCGATGCATCAACCGCACCTGATCTTCCCTCACTTCCTCCACATTCAGCAGGTATCGTTTTGTTCATAATCAACACTCAGGTTGACCCAGTGCAAACCATCTACATTAAGGCGAGGATGATTGGGACTACATCGGTGCTGATGGCTGAAGCAGCTGCAATGGCACTTGCTGCAGTTATAACTCAGCAGCTCAATCTTCAGCAAGTCCACTTCCTCTCAGACAACCAGCAGCTGGTGCATTTCCTCAATGCCTCAGACCAAGGCAATCCACCGGAGTGGAGAATCAAACCATTTACTCAAATGTTTGCCAACTGCACACGCAACACAAACAGGACCATTCTCAAGATTCACAGATCTCAGAATCAAACAGCAGATACTTTAGCCCGACAGGCTCTTTCACAGTCTCCGCCAAGTTCTCTTACCGTGCCTTGTTCTTGCTCTAATGGAGCACACGTAACTCAGTGCCCATTACAGGATGCACTATCTTCTGTAGTCTTGAACCATGTAAGGCTTTTATCAGCTGCTTGCTGTTGAAATAAAGCATGTTTGTTGTAAAAAAAAAGGGTAACGCTCTGTATTGGGAGAGAGCTCTTCTAGTTATAGTGCTATACCAAGGAATTGGATCTCTAATTCCAAATCTCAATTCCATGTGCAACCAAACAACACAATTCAATTTCCAATTCCAAGCACCAATATCTACATCCAAACAGGGGGTCTCGTCGAGCTCGGGGTGCTAGGCTCTCTCCAGCGTGTGGCTCTTTTAGACGTTTACGGCCCTATATACCACCACCTCACCTTCCCGCCAGGCCAAATAGATGCTGTGTGACTAACCGACTGTGTGTTCTATTAAGCGGGTGCACTTGCAGCAGACTATTGAGTTATTCACGCGCCTTTCCAGCTATAAGCAAGTTCAGATATCGATGGAATAAAAAAAACCTTTGTAAATCCCCAGCAAGGACGTCAAATACAAATATCATTTTTATTCGTCAATTCGCCTTCTATAGCGATCTGGAAACAATACTACCAGTTCCGGCAATTTTGGTGGGTGTAGTTACATCGCGTCCTTGGAAAGCCAGTTATGGGATGGGATTCCCCGAGCATTGGTGAGCTCATCGACGCCGTCTCCCCGCTCCAATACAGCAGCAGCACCCATCCCAGAACCTGTCATCATCAGTACATGTCAAAGTGAGAAGGTATCTGTTACAATTTCCGCTCCAAAGCAACCATTTGATGCAGGTAAAACGGAATACATCGGTAAATCATGTACCTATGCACATAGAAATCACTCCGAACCGGCAATCCTTGCCACGGCGCTTCATCTCATTGAGAAGAGTACTGACGCACCGTGCACCTGCCAAGTAGACACCAATGCTACTGTCATCATCACTCAAAATATTGTAACCAGGCAGCTCACGGGTCTCAATGTTTTGCAAAGTTAGTCCAAGGCACACCACATAGTCAAATGAAATGAATCTGTGGAACATAACAATCTGGAATAGCAAAAGGCAAATACCTGTACAACCCAATGGATGTCCAAGAGCCATTGCACCGCCATTAACATTGACTTTAGCAGGATCAAGTTCCAACTTCTTGCAGCAGTAGACATACTGAGATGCAAAAGCCTATGGACAAGAGAAAGTAAATATTATCTGCCAATTCTAGTTTTATGATGTCGTCTAGAGAAAGAACTCAAGAGACAGATCAAAATATACCTCATTGATTTCAAATAGATCAATGTCATCCATCTGGAGGCCAGCAGCTTTCACTGCTGCAGGGATTGCAACGGCAGGACCAATACCCATTACAGCTGTATCAACTCCGACAGCAGCAAAGGTCCTACATTTGCACATTCAGATTTATTGCTCAGCCTCTTAACAGAAATTTACAATAATTAATGGTATCATAGGCTAACAATGATAGTGTTGACCGATGGAATTGCTTAGTAAAACTATTGTGCTGTTTGGTAGAAGCGTTGGTAACGCAAATGTGATGGATTTAAAGCTACGGATGTTACCGCAAGCCATTCGATTTGAACTAATATTATTTCCGTTTGCATTACTGTAGAGCGAACCAAACACTGCCTAAGGTGTTTAACTGCTTTTGGTCCTAGCATTCGTTATTTATTTGCCGTCAGGCATTTTTAAGCACTAGTCCATACGTCATACTAACTCGTAGAAACAAAACATTTAAGAACTAATTAAACCGTTGTTCAATATAATTTGCCAAAATTGACACTTTTAACATAAATTAAATTTTAAAAATCCGAGAAAATCGTTTCGGTAAATTTTCTTAGATCTAAATCTTGGTGCTAAACAAGATCGTAACACCAGGAGTGTTACAACCAACCCCCCTAAAAAAATCTCGTCCCGAGATTTGAAGCAAGAATCAGAAGAGGGGAAACGCGATTACATTTCGTAGGTCAGAAATTACACGAAAAATTACATGACTTCTAATACTAACCACACGGGGATTTAGGGATACATAGCTAAGAGCGATCTAATACAACCAAGACTTAATCCAGAAGGCGAGATAGACGAGGGCAATATAGAAATAACGAGATAATGATTATCCAAAACATGACGTATGACCAACAGATCCAGAAACAGGAGACTGAGAAGTCAAACATCGTGAACCCTAAGTCCAACTAACCAAAGGGAACTTGAACTTCCTTGGAAACTAGATCCTTTCTTCTCAGATTACACCATCACCTCAGACTGACGAACCTAGCTCCAAAATAACGACTGGGTCTTGTAGCTCTACGTTGGATTTGAAGGGATGGGGATGAAGAAGAAGAGCAAGGACCAGGGGTATCTTATAGTGGCGAACGGAGGTGGGGCGCAACACATCGGAAGTGGAGAGGGCGTGGATGGGATACACAGACGGTCCATGCTGTGAGGATAAAGTCGACCATGGTGCGCTTCCTACGCGAGTGGGCAGAGGATAAGGGAGAGGAGAGGAGAGGGGGTCCGCTTGACGAGGCAGGCGTGCGGGCGACCGTGTTCCCAAAAGAAGAAAGAAGGGAGGGGGAAGAGGGGGGGTCCGGTATGGGTACGAGACGTGGGGTCGAGAGCCGACCGGATGCTGGAAAAAGGAGAAACGCACAGTGCACTAAGACGGCGAGTGCGGCACGATGCCGCGGCTACGTGAGAACAGGGTGCTAATGGGCCCGACATAGACGGTGTCTGCAAGGCACGCAGCGAAATAACCCGGGATGCGTAGTGTGGTCAACTAAACACAGGGCTTGGGACATGACATCCACTCAGGCTTTTACAATTACCCCCGACTACCCGAGGCTAACTTTTCCCTGGTGTTCTTCTTTTTCTTTTCCTTCCTTGACCACATTCGTCTTTCATGTAGACTAAGACCACGTCCTACGTTCTTCCTCCAAAACCACATCCTCATGTTTACTTGAGGGAATACTATTTCATCAACCTGTTGTGGATTTCTCATTTGAACACCTGAATATTTTTTAAGGAGAATATTTTGTAGCAAAAGTGGTATGGTGATGTAACTTAGTAAAGGTACTTGGTCAACAACCTCGATACCAGCGCGTGCCGAGCAGCGTCACCATGTGGCAGCTGTTCCACAGAGAGCCCTCGGTTTCGTCGTGACACCATAAGCTATTAACCAGACAACTACTACCAACTTACACGCAATGAAGACGGTGGGGTCATAGACCACAGAGTAAAAAAGAGTATTACAAGGGAAGATTCAAACAACAAGGATTCCTTTCGCAACAAGGAACAAGGAATTCAAATCCGACAACGGATTGGATTTAAAGAGAGTCAAGTGTTATGCTGTGACATCCAGAATTAGTCAATACAGTGTCATATGTTCTCCAATCACGACTGGTTTGCTGATATCTGAATGGCAACTTCTCTTGTAACCCACTTAACATCGCCCTTGAAAAACCCTAAGCACGTCTAACGAAACTTAAGGTAGATGAACGCAATAGCACAACGGAATAAATAAAATACATATTCCAAACGGTCTTATACGGGTACAACGTACAGGCATTCAGTCTCCCATTCACGATACATCATTCGCCTTCCCTATGGCGGACGATCTCAACAACTACGGACAAACAACAATGGCAGGAGTACAATACCAGAGGACAATAATGAGAAGCACTACTACTATGGGTACAGCATTCCAAGGCAACTAATCTACTCTGGACCACGTGTCTTCATTTTCGGGCTCGGTGGATTCTTCTACCGCCCTAGCTACGGATCTGCCTCTTCTCTTGGCAGTGGCTGAGTGAAAGGAATCAAGGGCTCTACTTCTGACACTTCCGAGGGTGGAGGTGCTGGCGGTACTGCAACACCGGTTCTCCTCCTTTCTAGCGGGTGGACATGGATCCCCTCCATGATCAAGGGATCCTGCCGCTCGGTAGCTAGCGTCCTACGCTTAGCCCTGGTGACAAGATAGGCCTCTCCCAATTGATGGACATGCTGATCTTTGACCTCCTTCAGAGCTTTCGACATGGCAGTCTCCCGACTCTCTGCAGCTGCCGCACTGGCATGCGCTTCAGCTAGTTGCACCTGGAGCATCCTGGAGAAGATCTCGGCTTCCTCGGCTCATTAGAGGCACATCCTCAGCTCCAAGGTTTACCGATCATACTGCTCATCCAAAGCAAGCAGGTACGTAGTCAAGCGCACCACGGTAAGATTATCTTCTTGTGCATCCCGCCCTTGCAAAGCCTCTATGCGAGCCCTCCATGCCCGCCGATTCTTATCCAAAGGTGGAAAGAACCTCATGGGGGTACGGACAATGGGTTCTTCATAGATCTGGCAAAGGCACCGCAAGGCTTTGCGGGCCACAACCTGGTAGGTGTCGACGAAGCGAAACCCGGTTGCGGTCACATTCCAGGCTTCGGTGATGTCGGGGAACTCTTCACTCTTCCCAATGTAGACGGTAACCTCAAACCGCTCGGTGCCATGCTTCTCATACTCACGGCCCTCATACTCGGGACGATCTTTGACTCCGAGCTTTTGCAGGGTGGCATGCAAGATTTTGGGAAAACCCTCAACGTTCAGGCAGTAACTACTAACCCAGTCTCCTGCCATCCTAGGCGGTGTTTGTGAGGAAGGATTGAGTGAAAAGCTTGCTCAAAGGAAAAGCTGGGCAAGCTAAAGTGCGCTGAGTGGTGGTATCAAGGGCTAAGCCCGGCCCTGCTTATAAAGGCAAAGCGGCCAATGGTCCTAGCACGGTCCACCAGGTTCCTACGCGGGATCACTACGAATGAATCGACCAAATTTTTCACGCGTTCGAGGCGAGCGATGTCCGAGGCCATTACTGACTATTACGACTGCAAGGCAAGTGTCCGACAAGAGCGCAGAAAAAAGTATGGGGAGACATGGGTCACGACAGGCGTGAACCACGGGCGAACGCAGAGCACGAAGCCACAGTGTAGAAATAACTCTGAACATGAACGAGTCAGTCGTGCACAATACGACACGCGTGACACCTATGTATAGTGTTTCTGCAAGCAATACGGCACTACAATGCACAAACATGATATGCATAAATGCACGTCCTATACGTCCTTCCACTGTTGCCAACATATAGGGCAACTGTAACACCCTCGGTGTTACGCCTTAATCAAAATATTAAACCATGTCATGAGCATCATGTTTATGTATTATTGCATGTGGTAAATGAGAAATTAAATTTTATTGCACTAATTCTCAAATTGAGCTCTAATTTATTCCTTGTCCAAGTTATCCTTCCAGCACGTCATCTCTCTCCACGTGAGAGCTCCTTAGCCACAAAGTCAAATGATAAATTATTGTCATTCACTAATTATTAGCATACCACTTGGCAAGATTTATATCTCCATCAATCTCGCGACGCGCCACTGTCATCTCTCGTTGTTCTAATTATCCCGTCTTTACTTCGCTTGCTAATCACCTTGCAAAATTATTAGCGCACGTCGCGCTGTCGCTGCCATAGTGTGTCGCACACGCTACGCATTTATATTACGCACAAGCTCAGCCCGCTAAGCACTCCGCTCGCTCACTGCTCAGCTGTTTTGCAAATGAAGGTCAGGCACTTTTTCCACGCACGACACTATAGCAGCGCAGAAACACTATTCGCAGTAGGAAACACGGTTCCTGATGCTTGATCCTTTCCTCACGACAGCACTGTAGCATTGAAGATTTTCCACACGGTAGGTCTGAAGCCGCCCAGAAAACACTGTTCATCCGACGGAACACTGTTCACGCGTAGACACTACTGTAGCATCGAAGAAACTCTGTAGTACGCCACATCGCTGTCGCGCCTTCGCGTCTCCTGCCTTTAAAAGGATACGCCGAGCCACCGAGCCATTTCGCTCCGCTGCTCAGTTGCTTCTCTCAAATCGAGTTTCTCTGTTCTTGCCCGTGAAAGCTGCGTCTATCGATTTCCCCCGAGCTACAATAATCAGCTGAGATAGCTAGTCTGCAAATGATCTTCTCATTCTCTAATAATTCCTTGACCGGTGGTCTCCTCCTCCATTAATTCCTTGACCTGCATGAATGAACCAAAGACTTACACCGCCAAGCACGTTCAGCCCAAAGCCCACTCCAGTCCTGACGTGCTCGTAAGTCCAAGACCACTCAATGTTCATCCTTGAATTAATTCTCTCATGACCAAAGACCACACCACCGCACATGGCACGGAGCCAGAGGACAACCCTGCCAACTCGTTTCGTGCTTCCAGACTACCTAGCTTGTCATGACCACCCACAACCAGTGCTATATATGGTTCTGCTCCGCTCCACGCAGGGCAAACAATTGCTAAGCTCCCTGGTGTCTCTCATCTTGCATTGCCTCCGCACATCGCTTCATTCAATTCCGAGGTAGTTAGCCTA